GGGGATGTTGTAAAGATGCTAGACTTACGGAAACCCTTTTCCAAGGGCGGTTCACTCGTGTGTGAGCCCCTTCGAGGCCTCCCTTCGTGCGGCGATACGACCCCAGTGAGACCATGCAGGGATCCCTCGCACTTTGTGACTTGCACCACCAGGGAGGGGTACAATCACGTCGTGGGCGGCCACGTCGTGCAGTTTGGCGGCGTGGAGGGTGGTTACCAGTGCGTGTCGACCTGGAGGAGCGGACGCCCCGACGAAGACGCCCTCTCCGTCTGCTGCGGAAGTGCTGGCGAAATGTTTTGCGGTCTCAGCAGCGGTGTGGTGGTGGTGCAGCCAGACGCGACGCAGAGTGCCCCCGTGTGCCAGTGGCTCGGTACGCGTCCGTCAAATGAGTCTGGGGAGAAGCGGCACCGTTTGGAGGTCGACGAGGAGGAAACCATATTCTAATGTGGGTCTGTTGAAGGATGAATTTCACGGTTCAATGACGGGGTTGAAGTTATGATGTCCCTGCGATGTTTTTTTTTTTGGTATTTCTTTTCACTATTCTTCTCCCTCTTTTTTTTGTAAACAAGATTAAATGTCTTCTAGTGTTTCGCCCGTGCGCGAGACGGCCTGTGTTCCCCCGTCCCACGAGGAGATTTCTTCCTTCGTGTACCACTACTCTGGCAAGAAGGCCACCACGCTCGATGGGCCTCCCCCCGCGTACTGCTATAGCGGATGTGATTACGCCTTAGTCCTACACGCCTCTTTTCAGGGGTCTCACGTTCTAAATCTGTCGCACCTGTGCTGGTCGCTGGAACCGCTTGTTTCACAGCTAAATGAAAACTTGTCTCTATTCTGCATGGCCGCCAAACAGCTGCATCTCCCTGGGACCCCATTTTCTTCGTTAAACCCTGCTCTCTTGCAGGCGGTGCCGCAGAACACGTTTCATCATATGGTAGTGCAACATTGGCTCTATGTGGTGTCTCGTCGAATACCGCCGGCGAGTGATTTCGACGCCGTGGCATTGCGTTTGGCGCTCCGGGCAGAACAGCTGGGTGAACCACTGTTGAAAATGTACTGTGGGGAGACCACCGATGGTGCGCGCTGCTGCGCCGGTGTGCGAGAGGTGCCTTGCGCCTCCTTGACCGAGTTAGAGCAAGTGGGTCTCTCTATCGCGCCAGTACCGCCGTTCACCGTGACGGAAGAAGAGCAACCAGAGGCAACGGCTGTAGAGGAGAAGGCGGAAAGTGCAAAACCAGCCGAAAAAGCAAAGCCATGGCTCTCTTACAGCAAACCCTGGTTGCTCCCCAATCGAGCAAGCAACGCCAAGAAGAGTGCCGCCCCGGTCAAAGGAAAGGGTGATACAAACAAGGCAAAGGGACCGTGGGAGACCGCTTTCGTAGAGTCCAGTGCAAATTTACTAGAACAGTTTGAAAACTCAGAGAAGGTGTTGCAACGGAAGCGGCAACGTTTGGTAGAGGTCAAAATAAAGATTCAGAAGGAGTACATGACGAGTGGTGCGGTCGATTACGACGCGTACGCAACCATACTCAAGGAAATAGATTGTTAAATACATGTTAGAACTAGATATTTTGCTACGCTAAATAAACATAATGGATTTTGCTTAGTTTGGAGATTGTGTTTGTGTTTTTGATGTGCGTATTCGTGGATTACTACACCTTTTCCTTTCCTGTTATTTTATACAGATGTTTTTCTTTTGAAGTACTTTTATCCTTCTTATTAGGATAATAAGCGTACATTTGTTTGACACGACGCAGAACACATACACCACCTATTTTAGTTTAGTACCCGAATGCTCCGGCCTCGCTTCCCACCGCTGAGGTTGGGTGTACCTCACAGGGGAATAAAGACGCCTCCTCCACCAAGCTACGAGTTGAACCGACAGGGTTGGCTGCGAATGGACCCTGTGATGAAGTGGACTCTCCTGGTCGACCTCGGGCGACGGGTGCCACTCCTGCTAAAGAAGTCGGTAGAGGAGAATACAGGCGTCCTCCCTGACAATCCCAAAATGCCACCACCGGTCTTCTCTTCCTCCAATGTGACGCAACATGCCTCTCTCGTGAAGGAGCTGCCCTACAGTGTGCGTCTGAAGCTGGCGCTCTCCTGTCTCCTGTGGGTGCGCTGCCTCCGTGATGTGCAGGACACCCTGGCCAGGTTGAGGCTGCCGTACACACACATTTCGCGTTTCGGGGACGCCCCCATCGCCACGGTGTACCCCACCCGGTGGCAAGAGTACTGGGTGGATATTAACAGTATGGTGCAGATAAAGATGAACACGGAGCTGAACGATACGGCGGAGCAGGTGCCCGCCCCACACACGTGGGACCCCGAAACAGCGGTCACCATGGAGGATGCGGAAACAGAGTCCACGATCGCCCTCGAGTATAGTGTGCCACACGGGCAGAAGGGACGGCGGGGCCAGTCGCAGCAGCTGCTGGACCGTGTGCAGGGCACCGTCTCTCGAGCGAGCGAAGACGACGAGCTCGCCAACAAGCTGCTCGCTCATGGAAAGCGACGTCGATTGCTCACACAAGGGAGCGGACTGACCAAGTACACGGGGGAGCTGCGTACAATGGGCAGCTCAGAACGACAGAAAGGATGGGCGGTGAAAGATGCGCTGCGTAAGGTGGATCCCCCAACATTTGAGCAGGACAGCAGGGCGGACGCCGAATACCACGGCAATCAGCACAGGGGCGAAGGATGCCCCGTGACGGAGAGGGGACTGGCGCCTTCTACACCGATACATATTCGTGTAGAGGAGGCAACACCAGGCAGAGAGCAGCTGCTGTGTTACTGCGTCATGGCCCATAGCGCTATTCTCTCCTCTCTTTTCACAGAGGGAAGGACGGTCCGATTCAGTAGTAACCACCCGGTGGTGGTGGACTATGTGAAGTGGCTCTTTTACGAAATGGAAAAGCACAAGTTTTTGAGTGTATCGCTCGTTACAACAGAGTCAGGGGACGCCGTGCGATCCTATTTCCCTTCGTGGGTGTGGAAGACGGGTGCCGTTGTGCTGCTTCCTCCGGCGGGAGAGACCTACACGACTCGTGAGGTGCGGCAGCTGGCTAGCTTGATTGTGCGCTCCGCGCCGTGCTCGGTGCTGGTAGAGGCAAGTCTCCAGGCAAACTCCTACGCCAAGCCGATCGAGTCGGAGGTAACACGCTTGTTGGATTCGTTCGGACTGGCGAGGGATTCCGTTTCGTATGTTCCTGTCGGGCGGAAAACCCACACCAGCACAACGGAGGAGAGGGACACGAAAGGAAAGGATACGGCGGAGCAGAAAAACAGTTTTGTCCCTCGGAGAAACGAAGCGAGCGGCGCCCGACAGAGTATGTGGTCTCGCCTCCTGACAGTTGTGGGAGACCGGTGGTGGAAAGGAAACCCGTCACTCGTTCGTGGGAGGAATACATTAGGGAGGTGTGCGCGGTGTGTGTGCTGTTTTATGGTGTGCAAGTGTTATACATTCCGACGAACTGCGCCCTCCAACCCAGACACCTGAAGGCGCTCTTGTGGAAGGACTTACCGCCCAATGTGCGTCTGGTCGGTGTCAACACTTCTCCATTGGACATTCTTTACTTTTACCCACAGGCGGTCTTCTTAACACAGAAGGTCGGGAATGCCTACCGCTACAGGGCGGTCGATCGCAGCGTCGTCTCCAAGTGCTGCGAGGACAGTCTCCTGCGTCACCCCATCCGCTACTGGTCTACCCGGGTGAGTCCCTATTACAAGACGGTGGACAGAATCGGGTTACACTCCTCCTTGGGGAATGCCGATAGGGCCACAATCGAGTTGGGCAAGGCGGGCGATGCGGAGGGTAGCACGGATGCGCTCGTGATGGAGCGATCCGTTGATTACCTGGCCGAACCGAATCGGGTTCATTTGCTATCCATCATGATGGCCAAACTGTTCAAAATTTGAGTGGTGTACAGTCATTAAAACAATAGTATCCCCAAGACGAACGAGCCTATATAGGTTAATGGCGTGTAGACTGAAGGAACATCGTTTAGACATTGCATCGAATGCTCTTTCTATTGTATCCCTTGTCTTTTTCTCCCTCATTTTTCTCGACGCAATAGCACAACACATATTTCATAATGATGAGTAAAGAGCGCCTCCTCACTCCTCTTTCAAAAGAGCAGAATTAACCAACCGACTATCAATGACGAACGGCGGAACTGAATTTCATAATGTCTGCATAGAAGGGATCACCGTTTAGGCATCACGACGAATCATTTCGGGGTGTTGCTCCCCTTCTCCTTTTCACTCAATATGGATTGTTTTCTATTTTACTTTTGTGTTTGACCTCGAAACTACAAAACATATTTCATAATGATGAGTAAAGAGCGCCTCCTCACTCCTCTTTCAAAAGAGCAGAATTAACCAACCGACTATCAATGACGAACGGCGGAACTGAATTTTATAATGCTCAACTGCTTCAATTGTTTTCTCTTGTTGTCTCGAATTACCTTCATTTGATGAACCTGATATGGTCCGTGTTTCAGATTCTTCATGACGTACAATATCATATCCTCTGATGGACACGCTCGCGTCATGTCTCTACTTTATTTTTCTCCCCACACTTCCCAGCATAAGTTGTTGTCGGTTGGGTGAATAAAACTTTATTTATTACTCCCTATCTCGCAACATCGAGAGTTATCGTGTAATTTTCTTCGCTTGTTTTTTCTTGATGAACCTGATATGGTCCGTGTTTCAGATTCTTCATGACGTACAGTATCATATCCTCTGACCCAAGCTACACCCCTTTTTTTTTCTCGCAGATCAAGTTGTTGTCGGTTGGGTGAATAACACTACATTTATTACTCCCTATCTCGCAACATCGAGAGCCCTTTCCCTCTTTTTTTCGAGTTATCTTCATCTGATGAACCTGATATGGTCCGTGTTTCAGATTCTTTATGACGTACAATATCATATCCTCTGATGGACTCTTAAATTTCGCGTTTCTGCTTCCGGGGGTTCCCCACCAGGCTTTCACCAGCACAAGTTGTTGTCGGTTGGGTGAATAAAACTTTATTTATTACTCCCTATCTCGCAACATCGAGATTTTCAAAGTTCACTCGCAGTTGCAAATATATAAAAAAACTCTTTACGTTTTTTCCTCTGTTTTGGCCAGAAGTGATTTCGCTCTGTCAAACGCGCTTTCACCTCTCTCTCTCTTTTATGGCTCAGAGAATAGCACAACAACAGGTGGCATGTCATTCTTTGGGAGCGGCAGTGACGACGACGACACCTCTAGCTCAAGCTCCGCGGATGCGATGGAGGCGGTCAATCTTTTGAAGAACGCATCAAAGGCACCAACCCCAAGTCCCGCCGCCCCGCGCATAGTCGCCCCAACAGCGAGGGGCCACGGGTACACTTCTCTGTTAAAGGCCGGTTCATCCATTCAAACAGAGAGGGAAGGAAATAAGGAAGAGAAGAGTGTATTTGGGAATTCCATTGCGAAGGCACTACAGCTCAAGAAAGAAACCCAACAAGAACTGCTACTTGGACGGTTGAAGCGACAACGGGAGGCCGAAAAGAACGACGCGGAACTGGTGGAGAAGGATCTGCAGGTGGCGCCCTTTGTGTCCCCAGCCTACCGCAAGGTGCTGAGGGAGCGCACCACCAAGCCCACCAACACACCAGCGGAGGAGGAGGAGGAGGACTTGCTGGACAAGTACATTGCCGATTTGGAGAAGTCCGCTCCGGCGAAGACAGCGTCTGAGACGACGGAGGGAGGTGCGGTTAACTTTTACGATAAACAGATGAATGCGATTCTGCTGCAAGGGGCGAAGTCAGAGGCGCCAGCGGAGGAAGCCACCCCCGTCTCCGCACCGTCCGCCCTTCCCGTGGCCGAAAACGGCTCCACCGGGCAGGCACCGTCAACAGAGACGCTGTCCCACAGGGAGGGCAAACCAGAGGCGAAGACCGATCATCAAAAGGAACTATTTGTGTTACGAGAATTACGGAAGCGACGTCGGGTAGACGATACGTTCATTGAGGCAGCGACGCAGCGCAGTGAGGAGCGAATACTAGTTGGCCTGAGAAGCATGGGGATGCGTGTATAGTAAAACACTTGTGCAAAATGTTTTGTTTTTTATTTTTGTTATTATTTGAAGAACCGCATTTCTGCGCGTCGCACCCTTCTTATGTCATTACTTCCCCCTTTTCTCAAAAGTGTTGTTTTACTTTTTAGTTTATCATTTCTATTAATGTCCCTCTGTGCCTTCTCCTCAGACGGGGAGGATGACCTCATTGACATCTTTCCCCGCGCCGGGAGTGTCGTGAAGAGTAAGCGTACGAAAACTAGTCAGTCCAAAACCAGCCTGGACTCTAGCTGCAGCGTGCCTAGCTTAACAAGGAACCCCACCATGGTTCAAGCCAGTAGATCGATCGCGGCGTTTGTCAACAACACAGCGGGCGAGCCGCTACCCTCCAGCAGCCCAGCAGAAGATAGTATCGACCCTTCGTGTGCGCCGAGACAGAAGGCGTCTGCCATCAATAGGAAGCGACTGAAGCGGAATAATACGAGTATGATGTCTAGCAGCCGAAATAACTTCAACTCTTCCCTGCGGACCATCACCGCCAACCGAAGTGAGCCCATCGAGGATGTACTCATGGAGTCCCCGCGGACGGCGAACAGTAGCCGACGACCGTCTGCCGCCTTCGCCAGCCCCACGCGGGAGTCTTTTAGTAACTTTGACGATTCCATCGGGGTCAGCTCCGCGGCGATGGCCAAGTACTTTAAGCAGCACGTGCTCAAGCCTGGCCGGGAGGAGGGGGATTCCGGCAAAAAACAAACCGACCGAGACTCTGTCATGTCTCTCATCTCCGACCAGCGGAGTTCGGTCCAGGTGTCCCACCATGACATTGAGGTGATGCTCGGTCGTCTTAGCAAGCTGGAAAAGGCGAACGAGGCACTAGAGAATCGGGTGAGTGAGTTGGAGAGTATTATACAAGAAAACCCACACCTGACGGAGAGGGCACTTTCCTACGACTCTCGTGAGCAGCGGGACGGCGCCCCTGGCACCAGGGAGCCCTCCCAGGCGAACTGAGCAAAGGTGAGCTTTATTATTATTTTTATACGAGCCTTGTACCCCCTTTTATTTTACTGGAAGAACGTAGATATAAGTTTATTCTATGACGTGCATTCTTCAAACCGCTAGATCGGCGATGTATACTTATGCAATTTCTTGTTTTTGTCGTCATGATGTTCAGTGTACTGGAAATGGGTAAAGCATATTGTCTTGTGGGCGTTACATCGTTTTCATCTCTCTGTGATTACTCAGCCTTTAGTTTTTTTTTTTTTTTTTTTGCGTGTTTTTTTTTTTTTTTTTAGTTTTTTTTTTAGTGTAGCATAGAAAAGCAAGCATCTTTTTTTTTTTTTTTGGTTAGTTAGCACGCATATCTATTGTTATGGACAGTGCATCATTTTTGCAAGTTCCCTCCAACAATAGTAAACGTGGCAAACTTTCCAATAATAATAGTATACATAGTGTTTCCATTTCCGACGCGGAGTGCACCAATGACCTCACGGCGAGCTCTCTCCTGCGCAAGTCATACTCCGATGTAGGCAGCAGCAGCGGCAGGGAGAGGGGCGCCGCGCAAGCTCACCCCAAGGGACGCAGCTCAAGCGGTTCGCCGCCCACTCGGCGCTGTCGATCGAAGAGGAGGAGGAGTCCAATGTGATGGGGAATGGCTGTGGAGAGGCGGTCTCTCCCATGTCCAGCGGCTCCTCCCCTCCCCCTGCTGTCAAGCATGGTGCCACGCAGCATGTAGAGCTGACGTTCGTCCCTACCCACAGGGAGGGCATGTCCCGTCGGACTGGAAGTACCCCGACCATAGTACGGCTCGGAAAGTTTTTTCATTTAAAGGATTCTCGCCTTTCTTTGAAGTGGCGATTCAGGATCTACTGAGGGAGTGTGACAAGCGCGTCTCCCTCCACCGCACCCCTAGTGTGGCGACACTGTCCGAGGTGAGCTCCCACGCCTTCGACTCCCCCGTCTCGTCCATGTACCCCGCCTACCCGGAAACCGTCCACAACCTGATGGACGTCCTGGGCAAGGTGTTAGACGGTAAAGGCGCCGCGGCCCCCATGATGCTCGTGGCCGCCCTGTCGTACCTTTCCAAGATTGTCTCCCGCTGCACCGACGAGGACGGTAGCATTACCCAGTCGAACTGGTACCGCATGACCCTCATGGCGGTCCTGTGCGGCACTAAAATGTACAACGAGTACACCACCCGTCGCCTCAACAAGCTGTTCGCCCTCGCCTCCTCCATCCCACTCAAAGAGATCAACACACTGGAGGTGAACTTTCTCTACCTGTTGGACTTTTCCCTCATTGTGGAGGAGAAGGATGTGCAGATGTGGGTGGACTGGATGGGAAGGATCGCGGCGCAACACAACCTGCCGCACCCACTGGGGGACCTCACCATGATGGAAATCGACAAGTTTGCGCCGAGCAGAGACACGACCGAGCCACGGGAGGAGTCCCTCATCAGCGGCGCAGACTGGCAGACACCCTCCATGATGGGGAGCGTCGTTGACGACCGCAACGACAGCGAGGTGGTGGAGGGACGACTGTTCAGCGTGGTGTACGGCGATGGGGACCCCATCACCCCACCCGACCTCCGCGCCCTCAGTCAGCTGCAGGACCTCGCCGTGAGCCCTGACCGCTCCCCCGCCAAAGACTCCCCTGTCAGTTTCTTCAAGTGCCAGAAGAGTTCGACCGCCACGCACAAGAAGGTGGTGCCTATCGCCGCCAAGGAGCCAGCCCCGTCCGTCCCTGCCGCGAAGGTAGACCGTAGTGAGCCCAACCCCTCCCGATGGGGGATGCTGAGGAGTGTGAAGGAGGTCCTGTCCGTGTCCGCCTCGCTGATTGCTGGCCGACTGCAGATTATTTCCCCCCAGAAGAATAGCGTCGTCTCCCCTGTCCAACCGGAGGAGGAAGAATTCGTATACGACAGTCTGCAGGCCAACCTCAATACCTCTAGCACCACGAGAGAGCCTCTCCTGAAGACGGAGGCCGCTCTGCCCATCCTCGCCACCGCGGAAGGGTCTTCCTCCTTCTATCCACAGGAGCCACCGGTCGCACCGTATAACCCGGAAGAGGATGAGGAAGGGTATTACGACGAGGAGGGCAACTACTACTACTACGATGAGGAGGACTACGGCTACTACGACCCAGCGGGTGTGTTCCACTACTACGAGGAGGAGCCAGAGGAGGAGGAAGAGGTGTTTGAACCTACTACACCGGTGATGACCAGAGCTCCACCCAGGACACACTCCCCGCCAGCGTTATAAAATCAAACCAAAAAAATAAAAAAAAATCAATAATAATTATAGATTAGTTTTGCCTTTCGGAAGATGGAGGTGTATTTTTTTTCTTCGTGAATGCTTCTCATTTCCGCAGTGTCCTCTTTCAATAAAGAGAGTGTTTTGCATGTATATTATTTTATCCAAATACTCTTTTTTTGAAAAACTCCGAAAAGAATAACGCTAAACTTAAGAAAACACTTATGAGTGAAAGACATTTTCATTTACAGGAAATCATTTTTTGTGTTGTTTTTAATGCCCCAGTAAATATTGTTTCTATCTTTTTATTTTCATTGTTTAGTTGAACAGCGTATTCGTATCGCTAAAGCACTTTGTCGTTGACGCCACTGCGGTTTGTGATGATGAGGAATCATCCATTGATGTACAAATGACCTTTGATCTTGTGCATTACTTCTCCCTTCCCTTTTTTTTTTCTCCTCTAGTATGTCATCTTCCTCTACTGCAGAGGCCGGCAAAAAGGCCGGCGCCACTAGAATTATCATCAAGCGAAGGACGGACAGAAACCAGAACACAACCAACAACAATAGTAATGTGGAAAAAAAGGCACCAGCCTCTAGCGTTTCAAAAACAACGCATTCCAAAGAAGAAAAAGTAGTCGTTTCATCGTCTAATCAATTTAAGGAGGAACTAGTTCCAACCAATAGCCCTGACCTTTCCGTGGAGGAGCGTGAGGCACAGGAGGCGGAGGTGAATTCGGTAGACGGCGTCTCGGAGATGTCGTACGTGTCGG